TAGACCCTTCTTCAGAAAATCAGAAAATTTTTTTCTGAAGAAGGGTCCAGACCCAAAACGTCAGCTTTCCTGCTCCTCTGATGCTGCTTGGCCTGCTGTGTTCATCCAGCTCTACACCTTGTTATCTCAGATTCTCCAGCATCGGCAGTTCCCACTATCTTTGAATCAATCTCTATCCATACTGCCTTCTTGTTCTTTTCCCTTCCTTCCTATAGAGCTGGGTGACCTGTGGTGTCAGACGCTTAGCTTTTGCTGCACTCCTTCAAGGATACATGGTCCTTACCATTCTCCAGACAGAAAACTTAGCTAGTGAGCGGCCCTCTGCACGTTTCCACACTGCCTGTCTGTCTTCTCTTGAACACCTCGCAAGTACCCATTTCCTAGCTGCCTGCTTGCCCTAACTTGAAGTATGACCACCCTTTTGAATGTGCTATTAACATTTTTTTTTGCGTTGTGAATGTACCTCAGTGAGTTTAGCTGCTACTCAAGCTATGAAATCCGAAGGTCAATTTTGTGCAGTCAGTGACTGTTCAGCTCATTCAGCTCATGCGAAGTGTCCACTACTTCCCATAAGCCACTGGGGAGGCATTCTACATATCTGAACTGCTCTGTCTTGCCTTAACATTATACTTGCAAATTATTTTACCTACAAACTAGAGAGGAGTAGAATGCAGAAATTCTTTGCCCTTACTCACAAGTCAGATTTCTCTCTCTCTAGCCTATACATTTATAGTTTCTCCGTGCAAGTTTAAAAACTTAGTTTCCAAAATTACTGGAGCTGAAACACAGCCTCCGGCATTACATGCTTGACAATCAATTGACTCTAAAATTTCCTATAATGTCACTCTTAGAACGTTTACTCTCACTATTCACATTGTTTTATCTGCTTCACCATCTCTCCTTGTCCAGTTTACCTGGTCCCCACTCTTTCTTCTCATGTTGTTTTGTAAAGTCTGCTTTTGTTTTGCTCATTTGGAAGTGACAATATTGAACTGAATGGATCAAGTAATATGATTTCCCCTTTTGATGATTATGTGGAAAACATATGTGACATATAAATTGTTCTGTACGTTTCCAGTTCTTGAAGAGTTTCAATGACATCATTATAATGTAAATTGGGAATTGTTTAATGATTGTGTAAGCCTTAGCTGTGTGAAATGGGCTAGGCTGAGAGAAATTTGAGATGCTGTATTTGAATTAGACATATCCAAGACCAGGAGAGGTTTGTCAGGCTCTGCTTTTTATGCTGAAAGGTAAAATCTAATGAGGTGATTGAATACACATGTAAATAAGGGAAAGATTTTTTCTAGATTTTCTTGTGTGTCCTTCATTGAATTGTTTAGTAAGTTTACAGTGCAGTATTGAGACTATGTGAGGGTGTGCACATTCTGCAGTATTCTTTGTTGCTAAATTGCAACTCTGTAAACATTTTTGGTGAAAAATACTTAAGAGAAATTATGAAAAAAAAGTTCAAAGTGGGATATAATGTTTTGTGTAGTACTATTAGTAAACAGAAATAGCTGAAAATAATCAAATTGAGAAGTGAAGTGATAGACTCCCAAGCATTTGTCAAAGGTTGAAGAAAACAAATCAGGAAAAGTTTTTTTTTTAAATTTAACCTATTTTACTCATCAACCCATTCAGAGATGTTATTACACATCTCTAGAGCAGGTGAGACTTGAACCTGGGCCTGTTAGTGCAGGAGTATGGACACTACCACTGGACCATAAGAGGGCCCTAATCAGTAAGTTTTTTTTTATTTAACCTATTTTTCAAATCAACTTGTTCAGAAATGTTATTACACAGCTCAGGAACAGATAGGGCTTGAACACAGGCCTCTTGGTTCAGGGGTAGGGACACTAACACTACACTACAAGAACCCTAATCAGTAACAGCTTAACATAAATGGCAAAGGCAATGCAACTGATGAAACAAAAGCCTTAAAGCTTTGCAGATGAACAGGAAACCTCTAGAAAACAGCATACAACTTAAAAAGCATTTGTATGTGTTTGATAAATAGTTTGCCAAAATTACAGTCAAATGCCCATAGATTTCCAAGGCTCACAGATATTCCTAAAAAATATACTTCAATACTTTTTGATGGTTAGTTATAAATTTGGTGTTATGATATAGGAATTCAACTTTAGAATTTGATAAATTAGAATGTGGAGATGAGTACTGGACTGGGGGGAGAAGGAGAACAACATACTTAATAATAGAAATTAAAAAAAAACACTGCAGGTACTGAACATCTGTGAATCCATAGTCAGCTCTCATTCGATGTTTCATTATATATTACATAATTTCCATGACCGAACGAGTAATTTGACATTAACTTACTTAATCACTGTTCAAATAAAGTATCAGTAAAAATGAACTGGGCTTGACAATCCAACTACATAAAAGGAAGCACAAAAATATTCTGCTGATTTTTGTTTCTTTGAAAAGAAGTGGAATATTTATATAATCCTTCTATAGAAAATATAAGATGAGAATGCAATATATGCTCTTTTTTTTTTATTAAACCGTGCCTGCATCTAACAATCTCCGAATGATAGAAGAGAATTAGTGTCGTGTTAAGAAATGTTTCTTCCAAACTTAGTGTGTTTGCTGGAATAAATCAATTCAAATCAGTATGTGAAATGAATTATCACCAACCTGAGGGTCTCTGTGTCATTTTCTGCTGGGGATTAAAAGTTCTTTTGAATTCACGGGATATTGCCTAAGTAAAAAAAATTGTTAATATTGCAGACAATACTACTTGTACCTTTTGCAACAAGTACTCTAGGAAAATGAACTGCTTTGCATTCTCAGCAAGACTCTGCATTTTTACATGAACAAAATCAAAACGTTGGATAAAATGAAAGCTAATGAGTAAAGAAACAAATATTTTCAATGAAATAGAACAAAAAGTTGTAATTATAATATGATCATCAACTAAAGCAAAATATTGTGCGAGCTGAAAATAAGAAACAAAAAATGGAAACCCATCAATTCATCAGGGAGAAACTATAGAAAGGAAATCAAAGTTCATTGGCGGTGGGTGCAGGGAGCTATGTGGTATAGATCCCACTGCCTTCCTGTCTTCTGATTTAGTCCAGAATTGGAAAGCTCAAAAATTGCCTTCTCACCTGGTGATAACTTAATCTGATTTAGCCATGATAATGCTTTTCAAGAACACATTCATTTGAAATGTAAACCTGATTGGCCTCTAGTTTGCCAGTTTATCCCTCTCCCCCTTTTCTGAATTTTGGCACAACATTAGTGACCCTCCAGGCCCTTGGCACTACTCCTACATCCAATGGCAATTGAATGACTGTAATCTTTGCCTATGCCTTTGTTAACAGGCTTGAAATTCTTCACTATTCTTTGCAGCCTCTTTCTCTCTTAGCCTCCTTTGTAGCTTACCTCTCACCCGCTCTGAAGTCTTCTCCCTCCCAATCCCCTTGAGATCTCCCTCTCTAACTCATTCCTCTTTGTGGTCTCCCACAAAGCTTTCCTCACACTCTCTCAGCCACCCTACTGTTTCCCCATTTCTCCCCAGACTCCTCGCCGTCTCCCTGTCTCCCACCAGCCATTTTTGTGAACTCACCATCTCATACAATCACAACCTTGCCGTTACTCCTAGCTCCCTGTGGCCTCTGTCTCCCCCAAGCTCACTTGTGACCTTCCCATTTTTTCCAAGCCTCCATGCACTTCTCCCCACAGTCCCCTTGCAGCCTCATTCATCTCCCCAACTCCCAGACTTCAAAACCACTGGTCCCATCTGTGGCTACCACTCTCGGCTGCAGCAAAATGGAGGCAGGCTCATGGACAGATTGAGCCTTTGGCTTTTTGGGCCTCCCCACAAACCTCCCAGTGTTCCCAACTTTCCAGCTCCTGGACCTAAGTCATCAGGCTCCCACCAATGTCATCACCTCTCCCATTCTCCCTGAAATTCCTCAATGGCACTGCTTAATTACTCACTTAGGGAAAAAAACAGTACAGCACAGGAACTGGTCCTTCGGTCCACTAAGTCTGCACCAACACATGATGCCTTTCTAAACTAAAAATCTTTTGCCCCTAGGCGGTCCGTATTCCTCTATTCCAGGTCTGTCGAGATGCATCTTAAACATTGCTGTTGTATCTGCTTCCACCACTTCCTCTGACAGTGCATTCCAGGCACCATACGACCCTCTGTGTAAAAAAAAAACGTCTCCCATATCTCCTTTGAACTTAGCCCTCTTTGCCTTAAAATATGTCCCCTGGTAATTGACATATCTACTCTGGGAAAAAGACTCTGACTATCCATTCCATCCATGCCTCTCATAATTTTCTAAACTTCTGTCAAGTTGCCCCTCATCCACTGATGTTCAAATGAAAACAAATCAAGCTATTATGCTCCAAACCAGGCAACATCCTGGTAAAAGATAACAAGGTGTGGAGCTGGATGAACACAGCAGGACAAGCAGTATCAGAGGAGCAGGAAAGCTGACGTTTCGGTCTCGACCCTTTTTGTACATTCTCCACATCCTTCTGGTAGTGTGGTGACCTGAACTACACACAATATTCAAAAAGTAGCTTAACTAAAGTTCTATACAGCTGCAACACAAGTTGCCAATTTTTATACTCTATGACCTGACTGATGAAGGCAACCATGTTAGATGCTTTCTTGACCACCTTATCCACTTGCACTGCCACTTTCAGGGAACTGTGGACTTGTAAGCCTAGATCCCTTTGTATGTTGATGTTACTAAAGGTTTTTCCATTTACTATATACTTACCTGCTGCATTTCATCTCCCAAAACACATCAAAGAACAAGAACAAAGAACAATGAAAATTACAGCACAGGAACAAGCTCTTCGGCTCTCCAAGCCTGTGCCAATCCAGATCCTCTATCTAAACCTGTCGCCTATTTTCCAAGGATTAGTATCCCTCTGCTCCCTGCCCATTCATGTATCTGTCTAGATACATCTTAAATGGCGTTATCGTGCCTGCCTCTACCACCTCCGCTGGCAACGCGTTCCAGGCACCCACCACCCTCTGCATAAAGAACTTTCCACGCATATCTCCTTTAAACTTTTCCCCTCTCACCTTGAAATCGTGACCCCTAGTAATTGAGTCCCCCATTCTGGGAAAAAGCTTCTTGCTATCCACCCTGTCTATACCTCTCATGATTTTGTAGACCTCAATCAGGTCCCCCCTCAACCTCCGTCTTTCTAATGTAAAAATAATCCTAATCTACTCAACCTCTCTTCATAGCTAGTGCCCTCCATACCAGGCAACATCCTGGTGAACCTCCTCTGCACCATCTCCAAAGCATCCACATCCTTTTGGTAATGTGGCGACCAGAACTGTACGTAGTATTCCAAATGTGGTTGAACCAAAGTCCTACACAACTGTAACATGACCTGCCAACTCTTGTACTCAATGTCCCGTCCAATGAATGAATGCATGCCGTATGCCTTCTTGACCATTCTATCCACCTGTGTTGCCACCTTCAGGGTACAATGGACCTGAACACCCAGATCTCTCTGTGCATCAATTTCCCCCAGGGCTTTTCCATTTACCACATAGTTCGCTCTTGAATTGGATCTTCCAAAATGCATCACCTCGCATTTGCCTGGATTGAACGCCATCTGCCATTTCTCTGCCCAACTCTCCAATCTATCTATATTCTGCTGCATTCTCCGACAGTCCCCTTCACTATCTGCCACTCCACCAATCTTAGTGTCATCTGCAAACTTGCTAATCAGACCATCTATACCCTCCTCTAGATCATTTATGTATATCACAAACAACAGTGGTCCCAACATGGATCCCTGTGGAACACCACTGGTCACAGTTCTCCATTTTGAGAAACTCCCTTCCACTACAACTCTCTGTCTCCTGTTGCCCAGCCAGTTCTCTATCCATCTAGCTAGTACACCCTGGACCCCATGAGACTTCACTTTCTCCATCAGCCTACCATGGGGAACCTTATCAAATGCCTTACTGAAGTCCATGTATATGACATCCACAGCCCTTCCCTCATCTATCAACTTTGTCACTTCCTCAAAGAATTCTATCAAGTTGGTAAGACATGACCTTCCCTGCACAAAACCATGCTGCCTATCACTAATAAGCCCATTTTCTTCCAAATGTAAATAGATCCTATCCCTCAGTATCTTCTCCAGCAGCTTCCTCACCACTAACGTCAGGCTCACAGGTCTATAATTACCTGGATTATCCTTGCTACCCTTCTTAAACAAGGGGACAACATTAGCAATTCTCCAGTCCTCTGGGACCTCACCCGTGCTCAAGGATGCTACAAAGATATCTGTTAAGGCCCCAGCTATTTCCTGTCTCGCTTCCCTCAGTAACCTGGGATAGATCCCAACCGGACCTGGGGACTTGTCCACCCTAATGCCTTTTAGAATATCCAACACTTCCCCCCTCCTTATGCCGACTTGACCTAGAGTAATCAAACATCTATCCCTAACGTCAACATCCGTCATGTCCCTCTCCTCAGTGAATACCGACGCAAAGTACTCATTAAGAATCTCACTCATTTTCTCTGACTCCTCGCATAACTTCCCTCCTTTGTCCTTGAGTGGGCCAACCCTTTCTCTAGTTACCCTCTTGCTCCTTATGTAAGAATAAAAGGCTTTGGGATTTTCCTCAATCCTGTTTGCTAACATCACCTCACATTTGTCCAATTTCAATTGCATTTGCCATTTCTCTGCCCAACACCCTAGCCTATCTATTTTTTATTCATCTTGTGGGATATGGGTGTCGCTGGTTGGTCAGCATTTATTGCATGTCCTAGTTGCCCTTGAAAAGTTGGTGGTGAGCTGCCTTCTTGAACCGCTGCAGGCCACCTGCTGTGGGTTGACCCACAATGCCATTAGGGAGGGAATTCCAGCATTGTGACCCAGCGACAGTGAAGGAACAGTGATATATTTCCAAGTCAGGATGGTGAGTGGCTTGGAGGGGAACTTGAAGGTGGTGGTGTTCCCATACATCTGCTAACCTTGTCCTTCGAGATGGAAGCGGACATGGATTTGAAATGTGCTGTCTGAGGATCTTTTGTGAATTTCTGCAGTGCATCTTGTAGATAGTACACACTGCTGCTACTGAGCATCAGTGGCAGAGGGAGTGGATGTTTGTGGATGCAGTGCCAATCAAGCGGACTGCTTTGTCCTGGATGGCTTCATGCATCTTGAGTGTTGTTGCACTCATCCAGGCAAGTGGGCAGAATCCATCACACTCCTCACGTGTGCCTTCCAGATAGTGAACAGGCTTTGGAGAGTCAGGAGGTGAGTTACTTGACACAGTATTCCTAGCTTCTGACCTGCTTTTGTAGCCACTGTCTTTATGTGATGAGTCCAGTTGAGTTTCTGATCAATGATAACTCCCAGAATGTTGATAGAGGGGGTTTCAGTGATGGTAACACCATTGAATGTCAAGGGGCAGTGGTTAAATTGTGTCTTATTGCTGATGCTCATAGCCTGGCATTTGTGTGGCGCAAATATCACTTGTCACTTGTCAGCCCAAGCCTAGATATTGTCCAGATTTTGTTGCATTTAGACATGGACTGCTTCAGTGTCTAAGGAGTCGCAAATGGTGTGGAACATTGTGCAATCATTGGTGAACATCCCCACTTCTGATCTTATGATCGAGGAAAGGTCATTGATTGAGTAGGCAAAGGTTGGGCCTCAGACACTACCCTGAGGAACTCCTGCAGAGATGTCTTGGAGCTGAGATGACTGACCTCCAACAATCACGACCATCTTCCTATGTGAATAGAATGACTTTAACCACCGGAGAGTTTGCCCCAATACCCATTGTTTCCAGTTTTGCGAGGGCTCCTTGATGCCACACTCGGTCAAATGAAGCCTTGATGTCAAGGGCTGTCACTCTCACTTCACCTCTGGAACCCAGCTCTTTTGTACGTGTTTGAACCAAGGCTGCAATGAGGTCAGGAGCTGGCCCTGGTGGAACCCAAACTGGGCGTCACTGAGCAGGTTATTTCTGAGCAGGTGCTGCTTGATAGCACTGTTGATGACACCTTCCATCACTTTACTGATGATCGACATTGGACTGATGGTGCGGTAATTGGCTGGGTTGGATTTGTCCTGCTTTTTATGTACATGACATACTTGGGCAGTTTTCCACATTGTTGAGTAGATGCCAGTGTTGTAACTGTACTGGAACAGCTTGGCTAGGGGAGTGGCAAGTTCTGAAGCACAAGTCTTCAGTACTATTGCAAGAATATTGTCAGGGCCTCTTGCCTTTGCAGTATCCAGTGTCTCCACCCATTTCTTGATATCATGTGGATCTGTATCCTTGTGACACTATTGGCAGCAGGCCTGGTAGAAAACCAGCCTATAATTGGAGAACCAATTCTTCAATATTTCTCTCCACTGAACTTGTGGGAGTGACATTTCTTCAGTTGGTCAACCCTGAGAGTAGATGTCTCCAGGGCAATTTGGGAATTTTTGCAGGAACCATCAGTTGCCCCCATGTATTTAGAGCACTGTTTCTGCCCTCTTGCTTCGTCTGTGGGTAAAGGAGCAGTGAGTGAGGTGATGAGCAGAAAGAAGCAAAGGGGTTGGGGGAGGAAATGCTGAGCGTGGCAGTGAGGCAGTCCAAGGTTCAGGAGACTTGGTCAATGGGAAGGCCTTGGGCGGGGTTCGGGAGAGTTGGCAAGCGGGAAGCACAGGGTCAGGAGAGACTGTGGCAGTGAAGAGGCAAACAGAGGGGAGCAAGGTGCTCAGGAGAGCAGCTAATGGAAGTGAGTGAGAGGGCTGAGTCATGGAGCAAAAACAGAGGGGATTTGGAGAGACTGCAAGTGGGAGGGAGTTAGAGGATTTGGACAGACAGTGAGTGAGAGGATTCAGAGAGATGATGAGTGGCCTGGAGTGAGAAGATTGGGCGTAGCCTGGAGTGAGAGGGTTGAGAGAGTCAGTGAGCAAAGCAGAGTGTGTTCAAGAACAGAATGAGCAAGCTCACTTACAACAATGCTGTTAGCACATGTACAGTAACTGTACTGAAACAAAAATATAGCACAGCAATTCAGCTATCTAAACAAGCTGGTTAAGCTAAAATGTTTCAGTAAAAGGTACAAGATTAGTTCTACACATTTCATTTTAATATATTTTGTTACCCTAAAGAACGTATAAACCAGTCATCCATTTTTACAAACAACATTTGGCTTCACTAGATTTGAAACAACAGATTTGAAAACGAAGTTCATTTACAATAAATCCATACCTGCAAAGTAGACACATCATCAGGATATATCACAAAGTAAACGTTCCTCAGATGCTTTACATTTTCCTTACTACTGAACTTGATGGTATTTTCAATCATCAAGTTTGCAACAAGATCCTTTGGAAAACACAATTTTCCTGTTCCAA